TTGTGTTTCTACAATATTTTAGCATCACCGAAAGTGAGTAGTTAAACCAGAATCTCCTTGAGACAGTTTCAACCATATTAAAGACTTACCTTTCTAGCCAATTTTTTCAATTCTTCGAAATGCATTTGGACCAAAGTCAGTTCGTCTAACTTCTTTTTCAGTAGAAGTTCTTCCTTCTCCGCCTTCAACCTTTGCTTGCGGTTTTCCTACAAGCATCAACACCAAAGTGAGTAGTAAAACCAGAATCTCATTAAGACAATTTCAACCATATTAAAGACTTACCTTCTCTGATTGCTTCACCTTCTTTACTTCATCTTTGTTCTTCGCCTTCAACATTTGCTTGGGGACCTTCTCTGATTGCATCACCTTCTTTACTTCCTTTAACATTGGCTTGCGGGAAGCATCTTTCTCACTAGGTCCTGAAACCACTATGTTCTTCCACTTCAGCATTGGCTTGGGGAGCTTCCGGGAAGCATCTTTCTCACTAGGTCCTGAAACCGCAACCGGTAAGGGGTCGTCCAGTTCTATGACTCGCAGAAGGTCTGCGAGGCTCACTTCCTCTAGGTCGTCCAGATACTCCTGGTAGATTTCAAACTCATCCAGAGGCACGGAAGCACATCCAGCCAACTGCTTACAATAGGAAAAGTGTGATGATACGAGCACGATGCTTACCAGAGGAGAGGAGAGAGACAGGGAAGATACTTACCCGATCTTCATGAGCATATCCATATAGATGCAAGGCAAAATCAGGATAGGTATCACAACCAAACTTGCATACTCTGCAAAACCAGCGAGGTTGAGAGCTGTCAACGAGCATCCGGCTGGGTGTCTTGAGATCAGGAGTCTCTATGGAAAAAAGAAACAACATATATATGAAAAGAAACTAGCTGGTTCTTGTTAAAAGACGAGAAAAGAAACTAACTGGTTGTTATTATTTCAACTTGCTACCTTTGAGTATGTTTTCCCATCCAAAGGAATTGCCACGAAATGCGGGCAGAACAGTGTATTCTCCTCGTTTCGACAAGGTGGAGGTAAGCTCACCATCGGGGTCCTCGGTTATGAGCATGATAGTAGCCGGAGGTGGATTATCAATTTTCCATAGAGACTAGTTCTAGTTCTTGAAGGCCAAAAGCAAAACTAGGAGACTTCTTCAAAGCCGATTCTATCATCGAACGGACACAACGAGGCTCTAAACCAACCGGAACAAGACATGTGTCCATGTCCCACCACACCACCGTCTTCTTAGGCATCGTGGGTTTCGCGGATGGTTTTTTACCATCTAAAAGAAACAAATCGAATCCAAGTTAGATCTTTAATCCAAGGCAAACAAACAAAACAAACATTAAGAGTATAATTGACACACACAACCGACCTCCTCCCATACCTAATCTCCAATCTATCGGCCGACCAAGAGAAAGGAGATCTATAGACGATTACTTAAGGATTTCAACTTTGAATCCGAATATAAAAACTGAATTTTATGGAAAAAAACTAGGCCTTTAGATGTCCAAACAACTCTTAGTACAACAAGCTCTTGTTGCTAATCAAAACTAGTATATATTATTTAAAAATTAGTATAAAAAC